CAGAAAAGAAGAACCATTGAGTTTGTCCATCTTTCCCACAGTGAAAGCGAACTCTAGTACCTGAGTGAATTGCAGTTAAAAGAAAAAAAGCCGGAGCATTAAATCAGTGTTATTAGGAGAAATCACGTCAATTTCTCCTAATATCACTCGGAGCGGTCCAAGCAATAGCGTTGGGACGCGCTCTGACGCGTACCGACGATCGCGTGATGGCCACTGCTGTCGCGAAGTATTAACGCTGCCTCATAGTATGGTAGGTACCGTGTCCGGTCATGCCGACACATATGCACTTCATGAGTGCTGGAGATCATCGCAGAAACAGGCAATATTCACCTTTCACTGCCCCAATAATCCGTAATATAACATTAGCTCGGCCTGAAATCTCCTGGCGTCTGCGCCACTGGCGCCCCAAGTAGCCCCAAACCACCAAATTCGCTGAAACTAGTCCGTGGTAGTTAGCCTCCCGGGCACGAGTATCACATCTGTATGCGGTGTTGAGAATATTCGGGATGAAGCAGACGGCTAGCGCATACCTGCTCCTGCTCAGAGTGTTATATTTGTGTTGAGGAGGTCACACTACTTCAGTTGACAAGTTTTCAGTAATTTCGGTAAATCAGAATATTTTGTCGCCAACGTCTGCGGCACGGGCAGCACGAGGTTTCGAGCCAAGCGGATGTGATAATCGTGTTGAGGAGGTCAAAGTTCCCCACGCGACTACTTTTAAGTCAAGCCTGTCCAGCCTGCCTGAAAAAAAAGTCGGTCAAAGGCTGGCATGATTCTGGATGGTTGGGGCAGTAAAGGGTAAATAGTGGCCCTTCAGTGGGTAAATATTGGGTTAATAGGGTGTATCCTACAACATGACAGGGCGTATCCAAGTGAATCAGCGCTGGCGTTTCAATAATGGATTTCTCAGCGCTGCATTTCGACGAATTCTTCCAGGAAACTCCTGACTGTGTACCTCATATGTGTTCAAACTTTCACAAAAGGCTTTTTGAGCAGCTACAGGTTTTTTCAAATGAGGGCACAAATAAGAAATAGGCCGTGGCATTCTCACGATAGCAGCACGCCGGGGCTAATAACATTGGATGACCTGAGCGGGAGACCTACTACACTTCCCAACACCGCTGCTTCATCTAGCCTCATTGTGACCCTATTTATGTGCAGTTTAGAAAAGTTTTCCTGCAAACTCAAATCCAGCATGCAGTAACACTACTATGATGAGAAACTTTTTCCTGATGTGTCCCACGGAGAGGTTTGAGCAGTCGTCTTCTGCACACCACGTGGGGTTGTCAGCATACTATTCCGACGAAACCGTTTAATATTGGATAATCAAAGTCTCATATATCATGCACGTTATTACGAAGCTTATCCTATCTTTTGACAAATCTCCTTCTCTCAAATAAGGGTAGCATACAGAGTTTTCCATCATGTCCATGACTGCTGCATTACTTCCAAACCAGTTCGTACTTGATTCACCACGATGGATCAGAAAGAAGAGCAGTTCTGAATTTTTGTTCGCTACTTACTTCGAAGTAGGTCACCACGATGATGTCACTGCGTGCTCAAGGCAATCTGATGAGCGGCTCCTCTTACAGTTTACCGCCCACAAGCACTGATGCTTTTACAGAGGCCAATCATACAACAAAGGCAGCTTTACTATGGTTGATCCAATACTTCTCAGAGACTTATTGGGAAAACAGAGACATGATTTGATTCCCATTCGTTTAATAATGACTTTTGCTAGATTGCAGTGTTGAGGTTATCGCAAAAGAATAGATTGATTTACAAAATTTCAGACTCCCAAGGTCAAGGTGCGTTACCCACAACTAGTTCCGCATGTAATTCGAATTCTGTCTAAGTCCAATAGCTTTTTCTTGAATGAGCAGCGTTTCGAGGAAATTTGGGTCCTCCTGGTATCAAAATTCTAGTGGTCGTAGCAAATGAGCTTCTTCAAAGAGTTATGCGGCAATGTGAAAATCCTTACTTGCTCAGGTGTGAAAGACTTTTGAAGCTGCTCGAACACCTCAATTCTAGATGCTTGCTCGTCGCCAAATAGTTTCGTTACATTGTCCTTAGTTAAATATATCGGCTGACCATCAGGTCCACGAATTCGTCTTATGTCGCTTTTCGCTGCCTCCTCCTCCTTTTTCGCCTGAAATCAAGCAGGAATAAACGGAGTAGAAAGAAAAGATTCTAACCCAGTAAATTTTTCAACAGATGAGCATTATTCATTGCTCTCAACATCCCTATAATCGAACACGAAGGGTGCGAAAATTACGTAATATGCGCCATAAGGAATGCCTCAACTCACCTTTCACTCATGCTCTTCTAAAGAAGGGTATTTTCTATAGAACTAGAACTAGAATAAGTTATAGAAGAGTAAGTAATGTAGTGATGTTATGTATGATGTTGGGGTACTTTGGCGTAGGCGCCCGAGGTGCAGGCGCTAGGCGACTACAGCCTAAACATTTGTGATGTCTGTTTTCAGCTGATTCAACTATCCTTGGGGGTGACTTTTCTGCAGATTTTGTGATTTTTTTGTTTTCAAACTGCAATAGAGACTAGCAAAAACCTTTATGGTATAGCTGGAATTTCACTGTGATCACCTTCTTCGAATCCTGAAAGGGTGGAAATTAAGTCATGAACTATGCGCCCAAATGCCTTACTCCCTTACAAAGACCCTTCGACCCCATATTAGCCATCGCGTCAACAGAAGGAGAGAAACTTAATCTACATGATAGATTCACCAGGCCAGCTATGAATAGCACAGTCCAGAGAGCTTTTAAAACAATTGCATTCAGGATTCCATTGGGAGCGCTAACCTTATACTATAAGAGTAAGCTCCCGTAATTAAAAGGCATTCTTCCCGTTTTATTTTTGGGCCCCTATCCTGGGTGTGGAAATATTGATGGCTGATATACGGTAAGGAAACTGTAGAGAGGGAAGAGCCTCGTCATGTATCGCTTGGCGCTTGCCTGCGGCATGACCTCAATAGTTGCTTGTGCTAGCTAACCTGCTGACTTCTTGTCAAGGGTGTAGGATATTTGTCCAGTCCACTCTTTTTCGCAACTCCTCTCTCATAGTGGCAGAGTCGCATGCTATGTGACCTCACATAATTGCTGGCTTGCTGCCTGCTGACCTCCCATCGATTACGCCGTTCATCAGTTATAACATGTTATAACACGCATTGAAGAATATTAATATGGAAATGTGAAGAATACCTCATACTTAATGATTACTGAGTTTCAAAGCGATGAATCAAGAGTGAAAAACATAATGGAGACGTTTCCTTGACTGGAAAAATAAGGCTAGTTACTTGCATTTCTAGACGATATATATAAAGAGGTCACTTGTCTGCAAGGGGGTCATCCATTTAATGCGTCAGCACATTTGATTATCCTGAATATCATTCACTATCCTCACACCCCATAAAAAGGTCATCGCTATGACGTACTCAAGGGCGCTTCTTGACAACAACCTGCAGTTCTGCTTGTTTGTGTACTCACTTGAGCCACAGTATGATTCAAGAATTTTATTGCGATGGTTTCCAGCAGCTCTAATCATAATTCTACACGTATTCCCGTCTCTTTGGCTTTTCTACAGCACTATCCACCAAGAACATGGACCTTCGCGTTGTATGAACTCCTGGGCTCTTCGAGGCTCTCTCTACCATGTTCACACCTGATTCGCTATACGTGGGCGCTTTACCTCAAGTTTTCCCCCATATTTACACCACCACCGCACTAGTTTAGCGCCTCACCAACTTTTGCAGGTTACGATCCGCTTGCACCCGATTTCTTTTTTCGTGATCCTACCGCTTCAGATTTTTCTCGGAACGCGGCTCCTGCGTCACCAGAACAAAGAGAGACACAGACATATAATGGTGAAAAACCGGTAAAAACACGTTTTATTTAATGTGCTGTAAAAGAAAACTCAGTTGTTTGACGTACCTGCAAGTTGTGAAAGGTCTCCGATTAATGTTTGTTTTTTTTCACGCTCTCGATTGAACAGCATATCGATGAGAGATCAGGTGGCAGCGAGCAAGCAATTAAGTGAGGTCACACCGCAGGCCACGCTACCACTATGAGAGAAGAGGTACGAAAAAGCGGACTGGACAAACGTCACACACCCTCGTCAACAGCCTTTCAAACAAAGCTTAGCAGTATAGTTGTGAAATTGTGAAAATAGCCGTCATCAATTATAATCAACTTATTTATTTGTTTATTTACTTATTTATGTACTTATTTAACACGTTGACGACATTATGAGCCAACGGTGGTTCATAAGTGAGTTGCCACGTGGGACAATATGAGCCACCGGTGGCTCAAAATATTCTGCATCACCTTTGGGGTTATTGCCGGTAGTCTCCATCGACATTTTTCTTGCTTTCGAATAACCTGTGGAAGTTGAATGTCCAACAGGGATGAGCAAGAAAAATATTGATGCCTCCTTGAGATATTTTGAATTAGTAATTGAAATTTTCAACTACCTACTGCTGCGGCACAAATCTCAAAAAAGTTCTTTCCGGACGAACCTTGGCTGCAGGGACTGCGCGGGGCTTTGATCATAAACGTGAGGTCTTATTTGCCGTTAGCGACACATGGCACCAGATCTTATTTGTCTTTAGCGCCATATGGCGCCAGTAGGCGCCATTTGCGGCATAGCAGTACTTCTGACACTGAGATCGTAAAACCTCTACACCTACGCTTGATTTGACATCCTTGCTCACGAATATATCGTGCCTGTCTCAAAGTTGGCGCCACCTGGCGCCAGCAACCTTTTTGGCACCGAGTTGGATACAAACTTGAACACCTGAGTTAATCGTCTATGAGTCATTGAAATGTGTGAAAGGCAGAAAATTCTAAAAAATACCTTAGAACAGAAAAAAAAGTTGTGGTGGAGATTTCGGAAATCACGATCGCTCAAAAGTGGGAGTGATCGCAGAGGGCAGGGAATGAAATGGCATAAAATAGAGTCAGCGATGTTTGAAATAGCAGTCCCTGCACGTCTGACAAGTCATTTTGCGAAATTCGACATAGCAGCAAAAAAAGTGGCCCACGAGGGACAATATGAGCCACCACCAGTGGCTCATAGACGAATGCGAAAACATGCCTTAGTCCCACGCGGCGCTTTAAAGCAAAACGCGATTGTCGTCAACGTGTTGATTATTTACTTACTTTTGATTCAGGGCCACACGAGAGGTGCCGCTGCAACATACTAAAGAATAAACTAATTTCAAATTACATTTGAAGAAAATGACATAATGTCCTAGAATTTTTCACAATGCAATGAACTGATTTTTTCGATGCGATGTAATTGTTGCGATTGCAATTACGATGCGTTTGTTGATCTAACAGTTAGAATAACTTGATGTAATTATGAACCAATCGTCCCCAGTGTTCCTGTCACATAAATTCGTGCTTCGTGAAAGCTCTACTACCTCAAGAAAAACAACCGCAGCAACCCAGCTTATAGGTAGAATAATTGATGTAATTATGAAACAATCGTCCCCAGTGTTCCTGTGTCACATAACTTCGTGCTTCGTAAGCTCTACTACCTCAGGAAAAACAACCGCATCTACCCAGCTTATGGGTCTCAATCAATCGTTATTACTTTCTGCTACCTAAGATTGATGTTTCGATTACAACCACTCTGATGGAATCAATTCCCTACTCTAGCTGGGATACGCGCTAGGAATAAGGTGGCACCGAATTTTTGCCACCCTTATCAGGTCCGTTTTCACTTTGTTAGTCACTAACGTGTCAAACTTAGGATCATGCCTGCGCGGTACTTTAAAGAGGCTGTGTCGTCTTCTTCCGTTGCCCAACACAGCGCCCAAAGTTCGTTTCGAACAACTGTAATAGCTAGAATTGTCTGGTTACCTAATAATTGGCAGCTAAACGTGAATGTTATCAATGCCTTTATCGCTACTGTGCTTTGGTGTTAAGATATGTTAATTTTTCCCACTTTTTTAATAGTATGACTCAATTTTCTGTAGCAACTTCATGCTTCTTTGAAAAAACTTCTTGCGCCAGGGGTAAAGCAAACGCCGCACTAGGGCAATGTAATAAAACCAGTCGGCTCGCCGGCTGACGCCGGGGTGCCTCCTTCTAATACGGCCCGGCTGCGCCGGGCAGGCGCGGCTTCGCGCGGCGTATTTCTCACATATTTCTACACTCAACTGATATCTCCCTTTTGTTCTGTACTCCACTTTTTTCCGGTGTCTGAAGTGTTCTGGAACCGTTCTACAGAATTTTTGTCTGGCTCCGCCCACCTCGAAGCAGGCTCCGCCCCCAATTTTTGTGCCCCACAATCCTCACCGGCGACCCTCTGCTGACCTTAATCCACGTTTTTTTCCGGTCTTTGAAGTGCTCTGGGACAGTTTTAGAGAATTTTCGTCTGGCTCCGCCCACCTCGGGCTGGCCCCGCCCACATATGTATACCCCACATTTCTCAATCGGCGACCCCATGCTGACCTGAATTCACTTTATTCCGGTCTTCGGAGTGCTCTGGAACCGTTTCACAGTTTTTCGTCTGACTCCGCCCACCTCGGGCTGGCTCCGCCCCCAATTTTTGTGCCCCACAATCTTCACCGACGACCCTCTGCTGACCTTAGTCCACTTTTTTCCGGTCTTCGGAGTGCTCTGGGACCGTTTTGCCGATCTTTTGTCTGACTCCGCCCACCTCGGGCTGGCTCCGCCCACAATGTTTTTGCCCCACAATCCCCACCGGCGACCCTCTGCTGACCTTAGACCACTTTTTTTCCGGTGTCTGGAAGTGTTCTGGAACCGAGGCTACAAACTTTTAAAATGAATACCCTGCGATTTAGGGCAAGCTCCGCCCACTGTGGGAGGGTAGCACACTTGGAGCGTGCCTATATTCGCCAGATATTTACATTCTAATCTTATTTTTTTGCGACTTCCAAACACTCTCGCGAACAGGGTTACTTTTTGCGAGAAGCACCGCCCACCATGAGTACGCCCCGCCCATTTTGGACGTGTCTTCCACAGTTAGTCTGGCGACTCCTTACTAACCTTATTCCCTTTTTCCCCATCTTTAAGCTGCTCCGGAAGCGAATTATGAACATTTTTCTGCGGAACCCCAAACTTTCGGCGAGTGCCCCGCCCACTGTGGGCGGGGCTTCCCATAGGTCAAGTGTGCTTTTTATTTCTTGTCCCATGCCTACCCATCCCCACCTTGACCCGACCTCTCCAAGTCGTTCTTCAGGTCGAACCGAATTTCCGGACAGACAAACTTACAACAAACAAACAAACAAACAAACAGACGAAGCGAATTATATATATGATGATGCTCCATTTTGACAGATAATTTGATGTTGTATTTGCTTTGGAATTACCGGTGAGCAGTCCGTGCATGCAACATAATGAGACCACAGACAGGCAGTCAAGAAGAGCGCGATAGCCTCCACCTCACCCTGTAGTTTTCTTATCGTGTACCTACCCAAAAAAACCTGCATACCCCTGACCTGGATCCAAAAAGCCTCAAGGGGTCTGCTCGCGACAGCTTGAATTTCTTGATCCAGGATCTCTGCCGTGATCCTCGCACTGCATTGACCATGTGGCGATCTAATGCAGTTGACACACATCAGCTCGTTTTCCCGTCTAGGTGTTGGTTGGTCTGCACGTGATGCACTCGTCGCCACATGTTTGGCATATAATCTTATAGACCACCCCGCAGCCGCACAGTCTCCTCCTCTGACATTTGGGCAGATTACGCAGTCCGGAGTTTCACATGTGCGACCGTAGAGACGGCTTCGAGTCAAAAGGAGCTTGTGTGGGGAGAAATACCCACAACGGCCAACAAGGTGCGCCATTCATGCCATTTCAAACAAAACGTGACCACATTTACTCTATGCTGAAAAAGTGCACTTCGAAGGAAAATCATTATGCACAGTGTTTGGAGGAGAATAGGGTGGATAAAAGTCGATTCCTGGTCGTATTCGATATGACTCCAAACCTACTCTACAAAGAAATTCGACGACCTACTCAGTTCACCACGCACCTCCGTAAGGAGTTCCCGTCGTATCACCACGCAACAGTAGATCGAGCGGCCAGTACGCTAGAGCAGTCGAGTTCTGGGTTCACCGTTCTGGGAAACTTCAACCTTTGTGTAAAAAGGAGCGCTCCTTATTGGAAATAGGTCCTAGTTCCTCACCATTAGATTCCATTTCCATGCATGGTAGTTTCCAGTCTGCATGAGCTCAACGGCCACCGTCATGCAGGTTGGGAAACCTTTCCACCCAATCCTGTACTTTAAAAATGGCTTTCCCAAACCCGTGCATCAAGGCCAGCACAATCGAGCCCGATGTTGATAAAGATACGGGTTTTCGCGTATCTGCTGAGGAAGTATTCAAGGTGTCCAGTAGCCCTTTCAGCCTTTTGAAAACAATCCCCATTGCTTGACTGGAGTCCATCCACCAGAACCTCCTTTGTGCCCAGCAGTACTGGTATCATTTCCACCGCCAGAATATGCCGCACCAGTGGCCACACTGGCACGTTCTGCGTGAGAGAGTGACGACATCGCTTTGGACGAATTAATGTTTTGTTGAAGACGCTGGAATTTTTGTAAAAAATAACGGGCGAGGGAAAAGAGACTGGTGCTTCCCGTCAGCAGAACCGTCTTTAAGAAAGCGGAGACTCATATAAACAGTTAACGAGATCCGATAACAGGGTAAAACA